AGAAGAATGCTCTTCCCCTTTTATACTTCTCAATGCTTTTAATTAGTGAACATGCTTGCTATTTTTGTTTCTTTCTATTATAGTTTGATATCTTACTAGTGCCAATATGAAAAAGAAAAGAAAAAATCACCAGAAGAAGAATGAACAAAAGAGATTATCATAGAATTCCCTTGAAAATTGACATTTGATAAAGAAAAGAGAAGTTGACTACTTGTACTTAATTCCCATATACCTCAGCTAGTAAGGTTTGAGCCAAAATTTTCCATTGTTCCTTTTTCTTTTTTATGAGATTATTCGTGCAGTTGTTTGTGAAAACTCTGAGCCTTTTATGCCGACCTGTATTGAAATGATTATACCCTTTTCTAACCACTTTGAGCCATAACCATTCTTTTTGTTACATAATCGGTTATATAGCCATTTGAATTGAAAGATTAAATCTTTCCATCTTTTTTGGAGTTAGGTAGAAATATTTATTTTCATTGCCTATTGCAAATGCATGAGTTTGAGGTTGCTCTTGGAAGTTAGAAATATTTATGTTTAGGGTTGGGGTATTAGAGAAATTGGATAAAAAGAAAGAAAAAAAAAAGTTAAAAAATGACTTCTTCTACAAAAAATTGAGAAAAAAAAATATGAATATGACCAATAAAATAAATTCTCTAGTACCAAGTCACCAAGCCAAGAGTGATATGAAAGGAATCAGATAACATTAGGAAAACTAGGTACCTAATTCCAAAGGTTTAAGCCTATTATCCCACAAATGTCCTAGCATGACATAAGCCATGTTACAACCTAGAAAAAAACCTCAAAAGTATGTGTTTAAATATGACTTGGTTTAACTTGGTTAGAAATTTTACAAACTCATCGTTAAATGCTTTATTATGTTGGTTGTTCGATTACCTTGTCAAATTGAGTGAATAATGATGAGACGAGAGACAGGTTGAGTACTTGTATGTTTGGAAGAACCTTTCTGAGTTAACTGGATTGAAGTAGGGAACATATATGTTAATTAGAGAAAAAGATAAGAATGGTGACATTCAATAGTAAGGGTACACATTTTATTTCTTATGAAATTTTTAGTGTGAAGATTGGTTACTTGAGGACAAGAAACAAAGTAATTTTGGGGTTGTGATGACACTCGGTCGTTACATAATATTTGCAAGAAATTTTGGATAAATCGAAGCAAAAGCCAAGCCAAAATATGAAAAGTGAGTAAAATATCCAAAGAGGAAGAAAATAGGGACTTAAGGAAAATTTGAAGAAAAAGGAAAAAAAACAGTGATTTTGCCTATGTTTTTCTCACTGTTGTGATGCTGACATCATGGGCGCGATGATGTCGCGTCGCGGTCGTGATGAATCACTTTTCTAACACGCGTCAACTTCTATTTTAAGGGATTTTTTCTACTTTTTTAGGGGTTTCAAATTTGAGATAGAAAGTGACGACCAAGAGCTTTTGAGCACGAAATTGGAGAGCATTGGAGATCTTATTTTCTATTGATTTCCATGAATACTTCTTATCAACTCATGGTAATTGTTAATTTCACTACGAGTAGCTAAGTTATTCTAGATTAGATCTTTTGAGATGGACTTAATTATAATCAGTTGAATCATACGACTGTTCGAGATTATTTGAAGGTTCATATGTTATAATTATTATTTAAATGTTCATGTGCTCATTGCTTTTTGTGTGTTGACAAGCGCATAAATTAATCTTAGATGAGTAGGCATCATTGACCGTAAGTCTACCTATCTGAATTAGGACAATTATTCATCTTAGTAAATAACTAGGAATATGTAATTATAATTTGTGGCTTTTGAATAAACAAACTTAGAAACACTTGATTTAACTCTAAATTGGCTTAAGGAATTGAGAAATTATTGTGTAAATTAGTGATTTGTAAACTAAGGAATTTGATAAAGTGGTCTTGTTAATTCTCCGTAACATTTTATCGTAATTACTATTCATCTAGTACACAGTCATCAACAAGTATAATTAGGGGATTCAATAAAAATATCTACTTTCTTTTCATTATCGTGTTAAATTTTCTTTCCTTTATTTTCTTACCAAATCACAATTGAAACACCCCCCTCCCCCCTCAATTGTTTATTTTAAATCACATTGGTATTACCTTGTTAAATTTACAATCCTTGTGGAGGCGAATTATTTTATTACTTTAACGAGACTAGTACGCTTGCTAGTTTAGTTATTATGTACCTCTCTTGTTTCCATAATGAATCATTGTTCAGGAAGTCCTCATAGGGGTTTGATATTCTCCGAGATGGATATTGTCGAGTAAGACTCCTATTGTGGAGATTATTATGGGTACTATTGAGTATAGATTATATTATGAAGATTATTATGGGTTAAGATAAATGTTTTTTGTGGGTAATTAGAGATTAGGGTTTAGGTAACTAAACCCTAGTATTATATATATGGCTTGTAACAATGGAATCCTAATTCATAATACAAAAATAAAGAGAATTATGGATGCTCAATAGTTTTCGAGGTAGGCATCATTGGCTAAATTGCATTAATAAAGATCAATTGTGTTCATTGTCTTTAATATTTTTTGTTGATTGTTGTTCTAATAATTGGTTTCAGATGATAGTAAACTCTAGTGTAAAATTCGAACTAATGAGGTTTGATGGGACGGGTAATTTCAAATTATAGCATAGAAAGGTTAAGGATTTTTTGGTTCAACAAAGTTTATGTAATCTACTATGTGCGATGAAACCATGTTACATGGAGTATAATGATTGGGTAGAGATGAAGGAGAAAGTCGTATGATTGTTTTGCATATGTGTTTCAAACAAGGTGATATATCATATCTTGGACCTAATGACTCTGAATGAGGTTGGAGATAAATTAAAGAGTCAGCATATGTCAAAAATGCTGATGAAAAAAATGTTTGTGAATCAGCGACTATACAATCTGAAAATGTAGGAAGAATCTTATTTGGAATAACATGTTAATGTCTTCAACAACATAATCACCAATCTGGTGAAGCTTAATGTGAAGGTTTATGATGAAGATAAGCCAACTATCTTGGTGTGATCATTACCATATTCTGATGATCACTTGGTGACTACTCTTACCCACGGGAAAGACACTACCAGTCTTGATCGAATTACTGCTACACTTTTACCTCATTCCTAGACAAAGTATAGAGGAAAGAACTCAAGGCAACAGTCTGTATGTGAAAGAGGTCAAGATCGTTGGTGGAACAAGAATAATGAACGTTCTAGAAAAAAGAGGTATAAATCTAAGAATCATAAATAGTTGAGTGTTATAGTTGTAAACATAAAGCATGGCTCATCCAGTTCTGCAAACATGGTTCAAATTGATGATTTTGAAAATAAAGCATACACAATGTGTGTTTCATCTAATAAGTGCAAAGATGCATGGATTCTTGACTTTGTTTGTTCTTACCACACGACGCTACATTGGTAACTTTGGATTTGTTTATCTAGGTGATGATAAAGCATGTATTATCCCTAGATGGGACAAATTAAAATTCCTATGGACAATGATGGCGTGTGAATATTGAACGAAGTCAGATATATTTCAGAATTGAGGGATAACTTTATTTCCTTAGATACTCTATAAGAAAAAGGTTCCCCTTGCATGTTTGATGAAGATATAGACACTATGAAGGTTAACTAGGGTGTATTCACTACGCCAAAAATGGTTTTTTGTATCGCCTACTTTAATAGCGCTTTTTAAATAAGCGCTATTAAAAAGGAAACAAACATATTTATAATAGCGCTTTATAGTAAAGCGCTATTAAAGAGTACAGAGAATATAATTTTGATAGCCCTTTGTAAAAAAGCGCTATTATAGGTATTCACTAAGATAGCGCTTTTCTAAAAAGCGCTATTAAAATGTTGTATTACAATAGAACTTTTATAAAAGCGCTATTATTAAAAGCATTACGATAGCGCTTTTTAAAAATCGCTATTAAAATATGTAACTACAATAGCGCTTTTTATAGAACCGCTATCGTTTTTATAATTGTGTTTTATGATAGCGCTTTTTTAAAAAGCGCTATTAAAATATTCCACTAAATTAAATTAATTAAAATATGAAAACCTTTCCCTGGTCCAAATGTTTTTCGTTTTGGCGCAAAATTCCTTCTTCTTCGTATCATTACTCGGATTCCCCTCTCTCTCAATCTCTTTTCACTGGCTCTCTCTTTCAAACTCTCTCAATCTCCTCTTATTCTATTTCTGAATCTGGTTTACGTTTGTTGATGATGATTATTCTGAACAGTTTGGTTTTGATGATGGAAATCGATTGAAGTTTGAGGTTTACGGCGGAAGGAATGGAGATTTGGATTACTGAAAGAGGGGTTAGGGTTTATGATTGGGTGTTCGGTTGTTTCACTTTGAATCTCTCTTCCACTTTCGGTTCTGGTTTTGGGGGTGTTTTGAAGTTGGATTTACGGATGAAATGGGTTTGAAGCCAGTTTGAAGTGAGGGATGGATTAACGGCCGGAGGTGAAGGTTTCTGGAAGGGGTTCCAATGGAGGTTTTGAAGGAGTTTTCCGGCGTTTTGTGTGTGGTTCTGTTAATGGTGAGAGATGGAATGAGGATTCTGTGTTGAAGATTTTCGGATGTTGAAGTTAGGGTTAAAAGAGGGGTTTAGGTCCGGTTCTGTTTTGATGTTAACGGAGGGATGTTTCCGATGTTTAACGGTTTCGATGGGTTTCTGATGTTGATAGCGGCGTGCGGCGGAGTAAGGTGGGTCGAAGGGAGGTTTGTTGTTCTTCAGGTTAGGTTTGGGCGTTGAAGGATTGAGACATTGTATCCGGGTTTTGCGAGTTTAATTTGATTGAGGTTCTAAGCTTGTTGTTGTGTGCCTCAGTTCTGTTTAGATCCTTGGAGGAAGTTACTATTATTCATCTAATTTTGATTTCTGGATTTCCCCCTAAATCGTAGTAATTTTAAGTCTCACAAATATCTGCTAACACTTGTGATTTATAATTTTCTTAAACACAGTTAGAATGAATCTTAATGATCTCAACAAGGTCTGGGAAATTAAATCTCTCAACAGAATTGGACAGGATGAAGCCACCGAGATTCTTCAAAAAGTAGCTAAGCAGGTTCAACCAATCATGCATAAAAGAAAATGGAAAGTTAATCTCCTTTCTGAATTCTGGTACTTCCTTTCACTTCATGCTTTCTTGTTGCATACACACTTGTTTGCCACTTTTATCTTTCTTAAATTTTAGAATACAGTCCTGTCGATCCATCTCTATTAGGGATGAATATAGGACCTGGTGCAGAAGTTAAGCTCAGATTAACAAGGCCTAACCGCGACTAGGATTTCTTCCCGTATGAACAAGTTCTCGATACCATGTTACACGAGCTTTGTCATAATGAACATGGCCCTCATAATGCTCAGTTTTATAACCTTTTGGATGAAATTAGGAAGGTAATGATCTTTGGCTCTCTGACGCCCTCCTGTGCGGGTATTGATCATAGATGATTGCATACTCCGTTTTGGTCCTATTTGAATGCAGGAATGTGAAGAACTGATGGTCAAAGGGATCAGCGGTACTGGGAGACGTTTGGGTGGGTTCAGCCAGCAACCGCCTTTGTCGTCACTTCGCCAGACTGCATTGGCTGCGGCTGAAAGCCAAACACGCAATGGAGTTTTACTGCCTCCTGGACCTCAGCGTTTAGGCGGTGATAGCAATATTAAGTCTGCCCTGAGTCCAATACAAGCTGCTGCCATGGCTGCTGAAAGGAGATTGCATGATGATATGTGGTGTGGGTCAAAGTCTTCGGAGGGTAGGAGCTCTAGTGGACCTTCTGAGAAATCTATTCAAACTCCAGTTGGGGAAGCAAAATGGCAGTGCAATACATGCACTTTCTTAAACAAGGTACAATTTGTTTTCTGTTTGATTAATACCCAAGATAGATCATTTTATCTGCAGTGACAACTAATTTGATATTCTATCTGATGATTGTATTTCTAATTCAATGTTGACTTGTGCAACCAATCATCTATCATGTTATTTTCATCTCAATCACACCAATTTTACATTCTTTTTTGTGTTTTGATTGGATTTCATATTGTTGTATCTTAGTGACCCCACTTACCTTTTTTATGTTGCATTCAAGTCAAATGTTTGCACTTGTGCATAGTTGTGACTCCCAACTGCGACATAAGCATTATGATTCTCGGACCACTATTTCCTACATTTTTTGGATAACACATTATACCAAATGGTTTTTTTGGTTTAGTTAATTTGCTGCATTTGGACCTAAACATTGAATATAAGTGAGTGATGTTTATTGCTGCATTTGGACCTAAACATGGATGATATGTTAAAGTGTTATGAAAGTTAGTTTTGAATTTGAAGTCATGAACTAAGCTGCTATTGTATTGTTAATACAGTGAGATTATCATGTGAATGAATTGCTATGATGACTGAATTGCTTGAACAAGTATGGCCTTATGGGACTTTATTAGAATTGTTCATGGAAGTTAGTTACGATGTTATTGCTAATGGTTGTGATGGGTATGTTGCAGGTTGTGGTTTACGATTCGGTATCGAATTGTTGTCGTTTCCACCATTTTGCAACTTGCACACTAAGTGTTCGGTAAATTGCCTCAACCAAGTTTATTTTCCTTTTTCGTTTCTGTTTCTTACTCATCCATGGGTGGATGCTATTTCAAAAAAATCAAAGGAGAATGCTTCTAAGATGGAGGCTCAGTTGGTGAAGGACGTTGTGCCGTTTAATTTTCTTACGCCTATGAGGATTATAAGAAATGCTATCTCAGAATGGGGTGGAAGTCCTGCTCATGTGGTGGTTTCTGAAGGTGCTAATACCATGGATGTCGGTCGAGCTGTATTGGTTCAGAAGGAGCCAAGGACTAGGTTGGATGCTGGCACTTGGGGGACTATGGGAGTTGGTCTTGGTTATTGCATTGCTGCCGCTGTTGCTTATCCTGATCGCCTTGTTGTTGCCGTTGAAGGAGATTCTGGATATGGGTTCAGTGCCATGGAAGTTGAGGTATATATTTTGTGATCTCTATTAGATATTCCATTGTTTTACATTACTATTGTTTTAGAATCGTGTTTGTGTGTGGTGTTCTCTATTAGATAAATGTGTTTATCTGGTGATACTTGACAGACATAAGCCATGGTACAATGCTGCAAAATCCCTAGTTCCATTTTAAATCAATTACCAATATTGTGAGTGTTTTTGCTTAGATTTTAGCTGGTTTTCCTGATAGTAAAGAGATTTGTTAGTTAGTAGTGGGCAACATAAGACACACATATATGAGATATCTGGATTTTTACCTTATGAAAATTTGTTAACAAGTTTGTTATTCTGGAATTAGGTGTTTACCTTTTCCCCAACCAAGCCTTTACAAGTTTCATATCTCTTGTTCTAGTCTGAATCGGAGAATATATTTTCCTTCAAACAAAAATGTTATTTTGCTTGTAAATTTGAACCATGATCCAAATGCACTTTTTGTTTAAAAACTGAATTTCAATATTGTATAAACCACTCAAGTTTTAAGTTTATAAATTTTTGGTTCTTACTATATGCTATGTTGTGGTCTCATTTTTCTGCATATGCTTTACTCTTGCAAATCATTTTCTGAACACAAGCATGTAATTTGACGCTCTATCTTTATCCAGACATTGGTTCGATACCAACTGGCTGTGGTGGTGGTTGTTTTCAATAATGGTGGTGTATATGGTGGTGATCGTAGAAGCCCAGAAGAGATAGATGGACCTCACAAAGGGGATCCTGCTCCGACATCATTTGTCCCAAATGCAGGGTACCACACTATGATGGAAGCTTTTGGTGGAAAGGGTTATCTTGTTAGGACACCTGATGAACTAAAGTCAGCTCTCTCAGAATCATTCTCTGCTAGGAAACCAACTGTCATAAATGTTGTCATTGATCCCTATGCCGGTTCAGAGAGTGGGAGGATGCAGCACAAGAATTGATTTCTCTGCTCTGATTACTTGCCAAACGAATGATGTGTATAACCACCCTTCAATTAATAAATAAAAACTGAAATAAATTTTGTATTAGATAATCCATGTAAGCCTCAGGCTTCTTGGGTTCGAAAGACTATGTTTGTCTTAAAGCCAGTTTATACATGAACAAGTTTAGTACATAATAAATTTAGGGAAAAGATATCGACAAGGTATGTAGAAACGATTGTCCTTTTAATAATTTTTTAATCCATTTCAACATTGTTTTGCTTTATGTAGCTGATTGGCGTGGAACCAGTGGAGAGTCCAGTGCTCTCGGGGGGGGGGGGGGGGGGAAAGCCTGGTGAGAGCTTTTCTGTAATAATTTTGTTTTTCAGAATTGCATATGAATGACAAAATTCTTGCATTACAGGTTGATCTGCTATTTAATTTCTATTGACCGGTTTATAAGTACTATAGAGACTTAAAGTTTTGTTATAGGGTCATAATGGTTCTAGAGGAGCATGGAACCATTGTCAATACCAAAGTCTTTGAGATGAATGGTAAGAAACAAGGTCTGGTTCAGTTTGAGACCGAGGAGCAGGCTACGAAAGCCCTTGTGTGCAAGCATGCCACCTCACTTTCCGGCTCGGTACTTATTCATACATATAGTTCTCACACTTATCAAGCTTGTACCTGGAAACTCTGCAGGCACCGTCACTGCTTACTATGTAAGAACAAATAACTCTTGCTATTTTAATGCTTATTATATGCTACAATAATACTAATAAGTGATATTTCAAAATTCGAAATTATTTATTTTTAATATGGCATGTTGCAGTTGTCATCAGTACTGTCAATATTTATGTGTCAAAAGATGGTTTTTGATAGGTTTCTCAGTACTGCTTCTAATATAAATGTTCTTGACAGGTTTCTCAGTACTGTTAAAAGATGGTGGTCTCATTGGTTAGGAATGGAAATTGGGAGAACTAGAAGCATATAGATAGTTCTTCTTTGCTTGGAATTACAACTGCAAAAGATGGTGGTCTCATTGTCCGTGATATGCTACCTTGGTAAGAACTGTATACAATTCATGTATGTATGTATTGAATTGTAAGAAGTATATATTAATGGTGCATGCATAATTGAATAATAAATAATTATATATTTGCAGAGATTGCTGAAGGTTACAGAAGAAGATGGTTTCAGTGTTATCCTTTCACAAGTTAATGGTTCTCATTACTGACTTTGTTGAAAAATTTCCACTGTCAAGTGTAAACTAGTGTTGTTCGGAATTCAGATCTTATGTGTATTGATATATATGGTTTAGACCAAGCAAATCTAATACAATACTATCCATGTAATTTAAAATCATTTATAATTTTTGTAATATCGTAAAATGCAAATGCCATATATATATATATATATATATATATATATATATATATATATATATATATATATATATATATATATATATATATATATATATATATATATATATATATATATATATATATATATATATATATATATATATATATATATATATATATATATATATATATATATATATATATATATATATATATATATATATATATATATATATATATATATATATATATATATATATATATATATATATATATATATATATACAAAAAAATGATTTGGTGTAAAAAAAAAGTGTATTACAATAGTGTTTTGAAGAGAGCATGCTATAATAGCGCTTTGTTAGAAAGTGCTATCAAAATTAAAGCAATTTATCGGTATTTTAATAGCGCTTTGTTTGAAAGTGCTATCGAATATGTGGATTATAATAGCGCTTTCTTTGAAAGTGCTATTAAATATGTGTCTTATAATAGCGCTTTATTTGAAAGCGCTATTAAATATGTGTATTATAATAGCGCTTGTTTGAAAGTGCTATCAAAATTAAAGCAAATTACCGGTGCTATAATAGCGCTTTTTTTGAAAGCGCTATCAAATATGTGACTTATAATAGCGGTTTTGTAAAAGCACTATTAAATATAGGTCCTATAATAGCGCTTTTGAAAAAGCGCTATTAATTACCAGAACTATAATAGCGTTATTAAAAATTTTGTTTTACAATAGCGCCTTGATTAATAGCGCTTTAAAGCGCTATTAAAAAGCAAAAAAAACGCTATTAAAAAACATTTTTGTAGTAGTGATTGGTTGTGAGCAGAGCAATGAGGACTATAGCTAACATCTACAAATTGTTATGGAACACTATTGTAGGTGATGTCGTAGTAGTTAAGTCTGATAATGATGCAACAAAACTTTGGCATATGCGTTTGAGTCATCTCAGTGAGCGTGTGATGGTGGAACTTCATATGAAAAATCTATTGAAGAGTGTTTATAGTTGCAAGTTGAAATTGTGCAACTATTGTATGCATGGAAAACAATGTCATGTTCAACTCAAGATCTAAAAGCACAAAACAAAGGGAATTTTAGACTATGTGAATTTTGACGTGTGGGGACCTGCCAAAGAGGTTTCTGTTGGTAGTTTTAAGTGACTTGGGAGATTCACAGATGATTTTTCTCACAAGGTTTGGGTGTATTTTTTGAAGCAGAAATTTGAAGTGTTTACCAAATTCAAGTTGTGGAAGATATGGGTAGAGAAATAAACAGGCATAAACATCAAGTATTTGCGATCAGATAATGGGACATAGTACACTGATTTGAATTTCAAGATGTTATGTGAATAACATGGTATTTAGAGACATTTCTAAATTTGCAAGACACCATAAAGAAAGGGTATGCATGAGATAATGAATAGGTCTCTAAGTGAAAGCGCAAGACGTCTCTTGTTAAATGTTGGACTATTAGAAGGATTCTGGGAAGAGGTAGTTAACATGGCGTGCTATCTTATCAACAACTCACCATAAGCTTCATTTGAGAGGAATGTTGCATATGAGGTATAGACAGATAATTCTATCTATCTTGACAATTTAAGAACTTTTGAGTATCTAGTTTATATGCATATATCCAATGAAGATCCATCCAAACTTGATTCAAAGTCGAAGAAACGTATCTTTGTCGGTTATGCAAAAGGTATGAAGGGGTTCAAGTAATGGTATCCAATGAAAAGGAAGATGGTAATCATCAAATATGTTTTTTATGAGCAATTAATGTTGAATCAGACAACTGCAACAAATGTATCAACATTGTGATTCAGGTGGATTTTCAAAAGGAATCAGACTCTAATACTACTTGTTGGGTAGTCAGGAGAGTGTCAGAAGTATCAATTGATTAAATATTCAGGATCCAAGAGGCTTTAACATCACATATTCATCTAAAATTTTAAGGTTATATGGAGTATGAGTCACATTTCTTATATACCAAACATTTCTTCTATTTCAAATTGATATGAGACTTAACCACTCATAGTTGAATCCCAACCCATCCCTTTCTACGAATATGAAAAATTAAATATTTAAAAATATCAATTCTTTAAAATAAATCTTAAATAACTCAGTAATACTTTTTACTTTTGCGTGAGATATACCTTGATTTTATAAAAAAAATTATATGAATTACTGCGGTACCCATAAGAAAAGGTGAGTTTGGTATATGCTTAAATCAAAATATAAATTCTTACTTAAAATTAAATTTTTTTATTAATTTTCTATTTTATTTGAATCGACTTTAATTTGAACACCAATAACTTCATTTGTCTAATTCTTCCTTATAATATTTTTTAGCCAAAAATAGAAGAAGAGTGATGAACAAATGGAAGAATGTGCAGATGATATTGACCAGAAAACTATGCCTTCATAGCATATTATTACACAAAAATTTAATTTCTGGACTAATATCCTAACATGCATGAGAATATTTAATAACAAATGTTTTGACAAATCACCATCACCATGCTTATTTAGGTTGCATCCAAAGATGACTTAAAGCGATGACATGTTATCTACTCTCATGATCTTGAAACACTTTTGAGGAAGCTTGAGTTTCGACTTAATTCACTTAGTGGTTTGTCAGTGAATCTAATCAAGTTGTAGGCTGAGGAACCCAAAAAGGTACCAATAATGGGTCCAATTATATAAACCCATATTCCTTTGTAAATGTGCATCACAAATGCAGGTCCAAGGCTTCTTGCTGGGTTCATTGATGCACCCGAGATAGGCCTGCATGCACACAACTATCAACTGAGCAGACTAAATAACACTTCTAATAGTACATAAAAATACTATTCTAAGAGTGAATCTATAATAGCAGAAGTTTTAATAGCGTTTAAAAATACTATCAAATACTAAAAAAATGTTATTAAAGGTCTTTTCTAATTTAATGATAGTAATTACCCCGCCATGAATACATCGACTATGATTGTCATACCAACGGCAATCCCGGCCAACTCTCCGATCTTTTCGATAAAAAAGATGAAATATAGTTAGTTAGTTTTATATAACAAATAATGAGGTACATTTCGATATAAAAATGCTAGAAAAATTGAGTATACTAACTGCTCTATTGTCTGTGGAAACAGCAGATACAACAAACATCAATAGAAATGATGCGAGGATCTCGAAAACAAGAGACTGAGCATTAGATCCAGCAGGTACTGTTCCGAAAAACGACTTTTCGTCGAGATCAAACAGAAGGCACAATGTTCCACTAGCAAGGACAGATCCTACCAGTTGTGCAACAATATACATCGGCACCTGAAAAAATCAAACATTCATGAATCTGTCGTTATTTCAAACGTTTCTTGCAATGCAAGTAAACTAAGTGGTGATTAGTATTCCTGCCTGTTTGAGTGGGAAATGACGGTAGACAGCGAAGCTAATGGTGACGGCCGGATTGAAATGAGCACCCGAGATGTGACCGAGAGAATAAACCAAGATCATAACTGATAGTCCCCATACGACGCAAATACCGGGAAATGTTATTGTTCCTTCACTCTCTCCGACTTTATTCAGAACCACTGAACAACACCCTGCAAAGATTAAGAAGTATGTTCCTATCACCTCAGCTATTAGCTTTTGTATGGTATGAAC